CTACCTCCGTAGGCGAAGGCGACGGCACAGCAACCGAGTCCGACACGCCCGTCGGCACCGCAACCGGCGTCGACGTCTCCGCCGAATCAGGGATAAGCGGGACATCGAGGCCGAGTTCTTTGGCACACTCCTCTGCGTTGAGGTTCTCGGGGCAGCAGTAGGTTGAGCCGCTGGCGTCGTGGGTGCAGTAGTCGCCTGCGCCACATGCATCTATTCTCCCTGTTAGCTACTTCTCCCCTTTCCATACTAATCGTTCACTCAGAAGTAAAGGGGCGGGGGGGGGGGGGTTTTGACGAAGGAAAAAATAAAGAAAGGGGGGGGGATGTAAGAACGTACTTCCAGTCCCATCAGTACAACAATGCGTGCCATCGGTAGTAGAATGGCAACTCGTAAACGAGCCGTCGGTCGGGCACTCGACGTACTCTGCTCCGCACGCTTCCTGGCATGTATCACCGGGCATGTCGCAGTAGCCTGTGGTGGGGTAGTAGCCCTGGCGCTTTGCAATGGCGGAGCCGCGCTTGAGCATTGCTGCGAAGGTGGGTTTGCGGTGCGTGTGGGCGCGCGGGGCGAGGGCCAGCGAGGTGCTGGTGAGGAGGGTGAGGGTGAGGAGGGCGTGTGGGATGTGCATTTTTCTTTTTGGAAATAGTATATCTGAATGATATAAGAAGGGGTGGAGCGAGAAAAGATTGAGGGTTGATTGGGAGAGAGAGATAGAGGAAGGAGGAGGAGGAGTTGGCTTTGTAGAGATACAGATGGAGAGAGAGGGTTTATATATCATGGGTTTGACTGTTTCTGATATCTTTAACTTAGTCCTTTCAGCTAATGGTACAGTGGCTATGGAAAGCTATGGTCCTCCTCTCCTCTTGGCTTGAGACGGTAACTTCCATCCTCTAGGCTCCCAAAGGTCCCACTCAGCCGCTTTCTCTCTCTCTCTCTTCGCCTACTTTTACTCTATCCTCGGATTTTGCTTGGCTTTGCTTGGCTTTGCTAACCAGGTATCCAGACCGGGGGGGTTTTTTTTCGCTTTGTTTCTCCACCCTCTTGACGAGCGGGGATTGGTCACGTTTGCAGCACTGAGGGCTGTGGAATATGCATGTGTTGCTAGTAGTGTTGTTTTTAATTAACAGCTCATTGCTTTGGTTTCCTTCATCAATCAAATGAGAGCACATGGTAGGCAAGGAGGGGGGACGGGGGACGACAAGGCAGATTCTCTGCGGTGTGCGCTTCGCGTATATCGCTTTCTGGGCCTGTTTTGCTGGGAGCTGGAGGCGGTGGATGGGCTGGATGGACCAATTAGGGAGAAGTGTGGCTGAAAGACTGACGATGGGCCCTTGTTTAGGTAAGTTGGGCGGGTTGAAGTTGTTTTTTTCCGTTGTTGTTCCTGCATGTGTGGAGAAGGAGGGCGGTGCTATATTTGTTAGAGCTGAGGTGCGGCTGGAGGTTGAGGAGATGTCGTAGCGTGAGGCTGATTGGTGCGTGGACTGTGAGGGAAATCTGGGGTAGGGATTTGTGGTCTAGGGATGGCTGTTAGAAACTATCTTTGGAGATGGAATTTCATCGAGCATTCAAAAATTTAGATAAAATTTACTACGTATTTTGTGTACTCGTTTTTTTCTACAGCAAGAAATTCAAGCGCTTGTCTCGTCGATGAGTTGTCGTCGATTCAGGTAATAAAACTACAGAATTAGCGGTGTTTTGGCCCCCACAGCCACATCTCACCATCCCATCTCCACTAACCTGTATACACACTAGCGCCCTTAACTCCAGCGGTCAAGCTGAATGCATCACATGGCTACCGATTCCCCTGCGCTTCCACTTATCGCCTGACGATTCGTCGCCTACAATGCATACCACATTATTCAAGACGACCCAAACTGTGCTTCTCGTCTAATCGGTTATGCCTTTGCCAAAGTGCCTCAGGCGCCCGGTAGTGCGTCCAGCCGCGTCCACGGGCCAATCCCAACGGAAAAAGTGTCGCATGTGCAACCATCTCGACCCAAGAGGCCACGCCAACTCCGTCTACGAAACTGAGGCTGTGAAAGAGCTTCGCGCGAGTTTGAGCCTTGTGCTGGATGCGTTGAACCTTGCAAAGGTCAAGGAAAGTGGATGTAGATTTTGCTATGTTTTGGTCCTTGTGCTAGATGCTTTCTTCAGTGGGTGGAGAAGTGCGAGGGCTAGAGTACGTGTTGATATCAAAGAGAAGGCTACGGTTAAGATTACGCTTGGTGGGGAGCGCTGGAAGGATGAGATTGCGGAGATTTATGCTGCACCAGGTAGGCTACTCTTTTCCATGGCGGATGTCGCGCTTTTGCATAACACGCTTGATTTCTTCTTGAGGACTTTGCTTTAGCAGGTATTCGGCTGTGCACATACGCGAGTTGGTACTATCTAACGACCTGCAGCGACACGTCCTCCATGGCCTACTCTAGGCTTTGCCCATCACATACCGGTCAACTCGGGATCTGATGACACTTTCAACTTTATTCGACGTTGTATTACAGGTTGCATCGGGAACCCAAAACATACAGCATGCAAGTTTCCTTGTCCTTCGGCCTTGTCCCCTCCCAAGCGTCTCCTCGACGTAGGCAAAAGTTCTTCGCCAATCAGGCTGATTGACACACAATGCAAGAACTTTCAGTATGCTGCTCTGTCGCATTGCTGGGGATCTTCCCAGCCGCTCGTTTCAACGAAAGAGACGTGGCCTAAAATGTCGGTCAACATCTCCTTTGATACCTTCCCGCCCCTATTCCAAGACGCAATCATCATCACCCGTCAGCTTGGCTTGCGCTACTTGTGGATCGATAGCCTTTGCATCATCCAAGATTCAATTCGAGACTGGGAGACTGAGTCGGCGAAGATGGGAAGCATCTACCAAAACAGCTACATCACTATAGCTGCAACGCAGTCTGCCAACAGTAGTGTAAGATGCTTGGTCGAAAGGCGGAAGCCCGTTAAGATTCCCTATAACAACACCACTGGAAAACAATTTGCACTAAGAGCGAGGAAAATACTAGATCACCACCCGAGCCATGCCCCTGGCGGAGGTCCTGCGAAGCCAGTCGGCCCACTCACATCGCGTGCTTGGGGGCTACAGGAGCACGTTCTTAGCACAAGGATACTACACTATACCGCAACAGAATTGCTATTCGAGTGCAAAACTTCGTATCGCTGCGAATGCATGCCGGAACGCAGGGCCTACCCCACCACCCCCTCGCTGATTCCCAAAGCCGTTGCCAGCAAGAAAATAGACGCCGTGTGGCAGGCGTGGCAACGTGTCGTCGAGCACTACACTGCACGTCATCTTACCATCGCCACAGACAAATTCCCCGCAATCTCTGGTATCGCGAGTAAGATCAGAAAGGCAACACATTCCGAATATCTCGCCGGACTATGGAAACACAACTTGGCTTCTGACATGCTATGGCATGCCAATCGGTCAAATACTGCTTGTCCAGATAACTTTGCGCCAGATAATTGGCGCGCCCCTTCTTTCTCATGGGCGAGCTTGGATGTGCCGGTCACATATACGTTGCTGGATGAGGAGGAGCGCGAAACATTCAAATCCATGGTCACCATTGTCGACTGCAAGGTTACTCCTACTGGGCTCAATCCGCTGGGTGCCATCTCTAGCGCTTCTCTTACTCTGCGAGGCCCCACCATATCTTGCATGTTATCTGCGAAGAAGAATCGCGGGGCGTGGGAGTACAGTCTTGTGATCAAGGGTACGAGTACCATTCGCATGACACATGACTGCTTACTCTCCGAAGCGAAGTTTGAGAATAGTGATGGAGAAAAGCAACTGACGGTTCGTCGAGCGCTGGCTACTGATACCGTATCTCGGTTTGAGGCGACAGTCATGTGCTTGGGCGTTGCTCGGTACGACAACGTTGTTGCGGGTCTTGTGCTCGGGATGTCGGCTGAGCATTCTCCAGCGTGGGAGCGACTCGGCACTTTTGCAGCAGGCACGGAAGCGATTGAGAAGTGCGAAGAGATGGATTTGGTTCTTGTTTGAGGTCGATCAGTGCCAGGGGGTCAAGTTTCTATTTTCGGTGTTTTGATCAACAGTTCTCTCTGACATCATGTGTTTTAGCGTTCCAGACTTGAGGATTTGACTACGGTAGAATGATCAGCGTATTAATGAATATCTGGCATCGAGTGTATCTGCTGGCAGGTAGAATTTGGCAGGATCGAGGAAACCGTGGGGTGTGTACAGTGTTAATGGATCGACAAATCTCGATGTCAAGGATGGGAAGCGGGCTCTTCTTTATATCGTATGACGCGCATATATTAGAAGCATGATTGTTATATTACCGTCTATTAAACCCTACATACAAACTTCGACCGAATATCAAAATAGTACAAGCGGCACGTGTGTCGTTGGGACTACGCATCGTGACATTGAAACAAATGAGAGCGAACTTGAGATTACCTACCCTGAGTCGCTGACATGACGCAATTCACCAGGGCATCATCATCGTATTCGTCAATTCGAGACACACCCGGGGTACTAAACATTAACAACTATTGCTTAAGCAGATCATGCCAGTTTTCGGATGCGTCGGATTTAACCGCACGTCAATGAGGTTACTCGCTGATCTTTCAAACGCGTGGGTAAGTTTATTGAGAAGGGTATATCGTTTGAAGCACCCGCTACGGCATCGCCTCCACGTTTGTATGAAGCGGATACGGTATGAGTACTAAGATCCAATACCTTAGTGGTGAGCTGCCTAGAATCCAGCCTGGTGGTCTACCTAAATCCCTGCGTCAATAATTCTGAACATGACGCTGAAATGTGCACGCTGACGCGGCTCAACAACTAGCTCTGTGAGATGTCTGCATACACTGGGACTGGAAGCCCTAAGCGTATTGATTTTAATTTTGATAGTGATAGTCTTTGTCCAGGCAAGCAGCCTTTTCCTCTTTTGCCCTGGCAGTCATCAATGTCAACGTCAACCTCGCCTGGCAAGTGACCGCACGGTGAGCACTGCCTCACAAGGATAAGCCGAGATCCATTGCCTCGAACGACGATGCGCATGCCAAAACAAAGCTGGTGCCTGGTCGCGCAGCCCGTCAAGCAAGGTTGGGTCCAACGTCTTAGCACGATGGGGTCGTGGTTGACCGTACTAACTAGAATGACTTTTTTGTCGCTCAAAGAAACTTGAAATCTCTAGTAGTAAGTAAGCAAACTCTCTTGTAATCGGCATTTCATACGTTAGCTCGCATCCACAGGCAGTGTCCCCGCTTCCCCCTTTCTCCCAATCATTGTTCTCGACCTCATCAGCCCGTCTAGAATGTACCATTTGTAAAATCTTTCGATATCCCCTTGATACTTGGTTCATCTGCAGAGCTCTTGATTCGTGTGTGCCAAGCGCCATAGTAATTACGGGCCTGGGTCCTGGCACTCTCCCGTCTTTGGGCTGACTCGCAAGACGAATAGCAAGCTCAAGGACAACAACGGTTGGATGATGCCGTTTGTCAATAGAGTTAGGCCTTAACTATGCAAATAATCATTTGTCTCTATAGAGTTCTATGAGGCAATGATGCTTTCATCTGGCATATGCAGGGCGGAGGCAAGATGCACGTTGCAGAGGTGAATTCGCAACCACAGGAGTCGTCACGTTTCTGCGATGAGCAAATAGGATCCCAGCAAAGATTAAGAAGTCTGCAGGCGACGTTTCAGTGCTGCGTGATGTTATCGATTATCGCAAAAGACGAACAAACAGTAAGTTTTCCTTGGTGTATTGTCGTCGTTCTAGATGATGTTGTACGTGCTATCCTCCTATTTAGGTACAAGCGCGCCGATCCTCGACTAGCGTGCCTTTGGGCGAAACACTTCGAAACGCCCGCATCTACGCTTGTTGTGCCACGGTCCGCGGCTTAGACACTCCATCCACGCAAATAGGACGAAAAACGGGTCCATTTGCCCCATGGCTCATTGCATCATGCTAGTCCCCGAGATGATTTGCTTTTGGCGCCGTTTTGCTGGGCGGTTGGCCTGAGACCCCACTGTAGACGCCTCGTTTCACAGGCCGAGTGTTTATATAGAAGAATAGCCTTCAACGAGCGGTGGTGCTTTACCGCCCGACACGAAAGAGTTCTGGCAGGTTTGTTCGGTTTCTCACATCGTCCATTTTTTGTCTTTTTTTGACCTGTGTTCGCTGGTCGTTCGTTCGTTTCGTGACTCGTTTACAAATACAATCTGTTCTAGCACAATGCTACACTCGGTTTTTCTTCTTTCTCTGCTTTCGAGCACGGCCTTTGCCGAGCTTTCGAAAAGCAACTTGAAGACTTATGTTGGAAGCCTAGAGCTTTCGATTCCTTTCTCGCCAATCAAGGATGACTACCGCACTGGACTGCCACACCACCACCGCACGCCTTTTGCGGTCTCACCGGATGGAAAGTCGGCATATCTCGCATACCTTGGGGCGTCAGGAAAGGGAGTTCATGTACAGAAGGTTGATCCTGTTACCTTCAAGGCTGTCGGAGATGCTGTGACAGTGAGTTGCGCAAAGGAAGCCGGCGGTTTGGTCGCTCATAATGACGGATTCGCCCTTCTTACCAACGAACCTATGGACGTCGGAACACAAAAAGCACCTCCTAAAAGAGATCCGGTAGCTGTACTATACCGTTGGACTCATGGCAAGCGGGTCTTTAAGAGATTCCTTGGTGGCCCAGACAATGTCGGTGAGGCAGGCGCAACATGTTCACCATATCTGAATGGTGATCTTGCTTATTCCCAGGAAACTGGCATGTATGGAGCCTATTTTGTTGTCACTAGTTACGATGGCCCTGCACAGGGTCACTTTGGCGATTCTATGCAATACATCAGCGACAACGGCACTATTGAGAAGATTGAGGGCGCGACTAAAAACTGGGGCTGCTCCTTCAACACTGGCATTGCACTCGAGGCTTCTGCCTCGGCACCCTTTGCTAGTGTTTGCGCTGACGACCAGGGCGGAATTTGGCTTAACACAGGTGGTACTGGAATGGAAAAGACTGGTGTGAAGGTCTCAAACGAATACGCGAGGAACGGTGCTTCAAACGAGCCCATGGGAGGCATCTCTGGATCCTACAGCAGTCTTACCCGCTTCATCAACAAGGACTCGTACATCTTCACCTGGGTATCACGCGGCTCCAAAGATTTGACCGAGAACAAGCAACTGGGCGCAGGATACACGACCTCCTCATACCGTACCAAGAACCGTAACGTCGCTATCGCTACCTTCTCCGACAAGAAGACCATGGTCGGCAAGCAAGCCACTAACCAGCCTGGACCCGACGGCGACTCGCACGTTAACTGGATCACAACCGGTTCTTCTGATTGCCAGAATGCCCGCGTAGCCACTTTTGATGGTTCCAACGCACTCGTCACATGGGAGGAGATTGCTGAGCCAACTTGCAACTTCCCAGCTATGGGCTGTGAGGGTGAATTCTCAGGCACTTACTTCCAGCTTGTCAAGGATGGTAAGAAGGTTGGAGAGCCGGTCAAGTCTATGGATGTGTATGTTGCCGGAGACATGGTCACCATGCCCGATGGCCGTATCTGCTGGCCTTATGTTGATATGAACTGGTCCCTCAATGGTCCTGTTGCTGACCGAAAGACGACCAATGCCATCAGCTTCGCATGCATGTCATCTTGCCAAGGCAAAGCTTCTACACCATCCAATTCAGATGCACCACTCAAGCCCTCTTCGCCATCGAAGCCTGTCTCGTCACCTGAGCCTGCTGAGCCATACCAGCCTGCTGAACCACCCAAGCCTTCGGAACCATCCACCCCTGCTGAACCATCTAAGCCATCTTCACCTACCCCACCACCAGCGTATAACACTCCCTCAGCTCCAGCCCCCGCACCCTCCGCGGCTTCAACACCAGCTCACCACAACGCCCCACCAGTCCCCACGCTCTCTTTCTCTCTCTTCAACCCGGACTCCACCCCACCACCAGCCCCCAAACCAACCCCATCGCCAATGCCAATCAACGACAACAAACCCCGCCCTTACGAATCCGTCTACGTCCCCGCCTCCCTCTCTTTCGACCCCATCATGGCCCCAGCCTTCACTCACGTCCTCCCGGGTCTACCCGGTGAATTCACAAACGGGCCCGTGTACTCGACTACCAACACACCTGCTGCGCCTACGGGATCCGCGGTACCGTGTTCGGGTGCTGGTTCTGGTGCTGGTGGGTCGTATGGGGGTTCCTACGGGGGCTCCTATGGTGCAGGTGTGTATGGAGTTAAAGGAGGTTCGTATGGCAACCCGGGTGCCGATTCGCCGTGTACCTTGCGGACGGTTGTTAGGCCTTCTGCCAGCAGTGGGCCCTCGTATTAAAAACAAAAAAACAGGACCTGGAAATTGGGTAGTATGCCAGGAACCTTTTTGTTTAGGTGTTTAATCGTAATCAGGGGGGTTCTTTGGACACTCTCTTTCTTTGTCTGTTTTTGTACGAGCTTTTGTATACGATATCTTTCCTTCCTCCCTCTCTTTTATTTTCTACTTTTTTTTCCTTTTGTTGGAATGGGGGATAAGGCTGCGTTGAATACCCGTTGAGTGGGGATGGCTGGTTTTCTTCTTGGATATGCTAAAGATAATTTGAAATGCGATGAAAAACTGTTAAAGATCGTGTGTGCTTGTAGGATGTGTGCTTGTGATGTATTTATGATTCTTTTTGCTTAGATGATATGTATAAGGGATTGAGGAGGCAAAGTCTCGGTGTTCATTCAAGACAGTCAATTAACGTATCCTCAAAACACTCACAATGAACCAGATACCAATATCATGAAACTCATAACATTCATAAGAGTTAGGAATGACTCAGGGGTATTACACAAGCGCTAGCGAAGTCAATGCCAACAAAACCACTCCAAACTCCTCGCTTTCACACATATCATAGCAGCTGGACGCCGTCGCTCCGACATCCAGCCAGTCTCATCCTTCCCAACCTCAAGTTGCATACACTCAAACATGATCATGCCTGCCCAACTTCTTGCCCATCTTACCGAGCGTCTTCGCCTCGGCCTTCTTGATCTTAGCTAGTCGTGCCCTGTATGACTCGTCAGTCTTTTGCTCTCCCAGACAACCAGTAATATAGTATAAAAGAAAAGGAAAACTTACTCTTCAGCAGCCTCCCTCTCCAACCTAGCAACATGCTCGCGTGCCTCCCTGACCGCACTCCTCGCAACCGCCAACGCCCGATCCGCCTCTCGCTCTGCCGCCTCGGCATTCGCTAGACTCTGCTTTGCATTGACGATGCTGGGGTCTCCATGAGATGACTTGCTGAAGAAGCCAGAGGAAATCGTGTTGTTGTTTGATGTGCCGGAGCGCGAGGCTGAGCTGCTGTGGCGGTGGTGGTGCGTGGTTGTAGTAGCTGCGTGGGGAGAGGAGGAGCGACGACGAGAGAAGAGCCCGGATTTCTGAGTTGGGGCTGGGGTAGGGGGAGGCGAGGGCTCGCGGCGGGATCCGAAGAGTGGCATTTTTGGTAATATTATTTCCTTTGGGAGGTATTGCTAGACTTCTTGTATAGTGATTTGGGAGTAGGCTGGATAGGGATAGATTGCCTTTGTTGTTTATGGTAGAGGACTGAGAATAGATGGGGACGAGAAAGGAAAATTGGATATTCGCAATTGACTTCTTATATGCGATTCGCGCTTTCCACCCCGTCATATCGTCGTTGCTTCCCGTGTATGACCCCAATCTACCATCCCGTTGTGCAGAGAAGCAGGGTTCAGGCTGGCGACATCGACGTCACAGCCCGCCCCAAAGAAGTTGTGATCAGCCAAAAAGGCCCGCTTACAGCACACATGCTGCGACCGCCACTATCGTCATCGCACTGTGTGCCGCGCTCATTGCAAAACAACAGAAAAGGGGCGTGACGGTTTGATGCAGTATAGAGATGTTAGTTGGATGGTTTGTTAGCGTTGGTGTTGAATGTAAAGGTGGGTCAGAAACAGGGACATGTGCCGGATACAACGGCGAGAGACCCTTGACACCCCGGGTCTGAGAGTGGGCTAAAGAGCTTGATTGAACTTCATGAACAAGGTTTTGAAAGCATTTTGGTGCCGATATAGCCGTTATTGAGAAGGCAAGCTTGTTTGTTACACAGGCGAGGGCCATGGAAACGGCCCGATGGAAATCCTGTGGGTCAGACGTGCACAGCGCCAAACTGGTGATGCAAGATGGAAACATGATACTTTGATAATGTTGTTATTCCTCTATAATGAACAGTGGTAAGCTGCCAGATTCATGCGCTCGCGCGCCTATGTATACCATTTTTTACTCGAGACGCCGCCCAATGCAACCGGTCCATGTTACGACAAAAGATCAGATTACCCACATTGCGCATGGTCACTTTGACCAACCACGAGCTTGCTCGTAGTCTTGAGGATGCTAATGACCATAACAGTGCATCCAAATGCCACTACAGCGCCAGCTACGTATGTCATTGTGCTTTTTTGCGACAGTTTGATGTAGCAGAGAGGTGGGAGAATGAATGCGAGCGCGCAAGCAGATGTTGCGCCAAACAACTCAAAAACAACGCCAATGTCGCAGGTGAGAAGGGAGAGCGTGAGAGCAGAAATCACAAGCGAACTAGTGAAGATTATGTGGCGGTTGGGGTTGTAGTGCTCATCGGGGAACCAGTAATTGTTCATTACTTCTCGGCAGACAAAAGCTTCCAGTGGAAGTGTGGTAAGCATGTTGAGGCCGAAGAACAGACGTGCAATGTTGACCATGAGATTATCGTTGGGGAAATTGTTGAGCACATTGCCGAGCGTCTTGTCACCAAAGGTCAGGTAACCTGACAGTGCCATGACAAGACATGCGACAAGGGATATGCCAGTGCTATAGTGTGTGACGCGGGAGAAACGATCGATGGTCGGCTTGCGCAGGGAGCCGTAGATGAGGAGGCTGTTGTGGTGGCAGACAAAAGCAAAAGCAATGACGCCTATGGATTCGAAGATGCCCGAGCGGATAATGAGGGAGCCGCGTAGTTGGCCCCTGGCCTCAGCAGGAACGCGGAAGGATTGTGTAACAACAGTCACAATAATGACGGTCATGCTGACCAAGGCGAAGCCACTGGCTTTGGCAAGCTGCAAACGGATTAGTGTGTGCATTCTCTTGCTCGGTAATGAAGCTACCTTTGAAATGTCACGGTAGAGCGACAGGGGAAACGATATGCCGAGAATGAGCAGAATCATGACAGCTCTTCTGTTGGTAAGTAGCCATAGGAAGGACATGTCTTCTAGAGAAGGAAACATTGAATCCAAAACCTTTGGTATCGTGTCACCGACAATAACGCAGAAGGCTACCATGCCGCCAAAGGCGCTGTATGCTGTCAATACATGTGCTTCCAGATATGACAGAATTGACGTACAAGAGCCATTGCGCGAGGGATATAGCCACGAGCCCGGATTTCCCAAAGCAGTGTTGTACCGTCGCCTGGAAAGAATCCGTCCCGCTGAGCTTCGAGTTTATGACAATGAGTCGAATTGTCCAGTCTACGATGATTGTGAGGCCGATGAGCAGAGCGGTTCCTGTCAACAGGCCGGCATTGCGGATAGCGTACGGTTGGCCAATGATACCAGCCCCTCTACTCCAGATTAGCCAGTGTTCTTTCATCCATTGTTCTCAGTGCATGCCTCACATTATACTGTTGGCCATATTCATGAATGCGCTTCGCATTCCGCTGCGTGGCCGTGCGCTCTCCAGGTGGTCTTCTGGGTTGAAGTTCTGCTCGGCCACCGTGACACTCGGCGCCTCGATACCAGTGAGCAGAGGCAGCCGCTGTGTCTCCTGCCCCTCTCCGTCATTCATGTAATCATCTCCGTCCAACTCTACCCAGTCGGCGCTGCCGTTTGCATGTCCATTCATGCTCCTCCTCGGCTCTTCGAAACGGACGCGGTTCGGGGTTCTCGGAGTGCCATCTGGGCGATGTTGTGCAAAGGACGATTGCCGCTTGATCCCGCCATTTGGACGTGACCCTGGGGGCGCTGGGGAGGTGGACGTAGCTCGCGACGATGAGGGCGATGGCGATAAATGTCGCGGACTTGGTTTGATTTCGGGTCCTAATTCAGAGTCACTGTCTGAAGGATGCTCATGCAGGAGCTTTTGGCTTTCGCTCATCGTGGCATTGTCAAAACTCGGGAGATTCGTACCTTTGGCCAGCGTGGAACCGTCATCCCCGACTTATTACATCGGTCTCAAGAACACGAGACCCCTGTCGAACCGCTAGTCTATATTAGGAATAGTGCATCCCTTCCCCGAACGCCCGCCCGGACGAGCTGCGTCGGTCTTTCGTCCACAACCGGTACAGGATAGTACGTGCATCCATGTAGGCATCCAGTCTCGAATTAATATGCTATGCGACCTCAACTAGACTATAACTCGATGTCATCTGTTTCATGTTCGAGAATACCCATATTCATGCCCCTATTTGTGGTCGACAGAATGGCGTCGCCTAAGTTGCATTTCTGAGTGTAGTGGGAAGTTCAGGAGATCCATATGGGCAATTTCATGTGTCTGAGACATATATAAAGTTATTCAAATCCTAGATTGCTTGACAGAATCTCAGATGGAAATCGCCAAAGATCATTGCCACTTATCTCTTTCATCAAAGCTCTGAGTAGGAACGACTCACACTGGAACGACCGAGACGTATCTTGAGGCCATGAGTAAAATGTACTTGAGGGTCTTTCGAGGCAAGTACAAAAATCCGATATATTAACTGCACGGCTAGGTTCCGTTTGAACCCCTGCCCATCTGTCATCAAACCCGTCGAAGGTGTAAGACTGTTCTATTGTGCATACTCTACCGCTTACCCGAAAAGAGGCCCTCGCAACATAACACACAGTGTGCTGGGAGGGTTATTGTTTCCTAAAATTCATGAATCCAAGAGCAAGAATTCACTGTGGCACAGGAATCTCCTGTCGTACAGTGCTGGCCAGCATTGTGACTATTACAACGCACACAGATACTCCACAGTGCTCGCAAAAGCTCCCTTCTTATATCCTTCCAATTTTTGCCCACAAGATCTGCAAATCCGAGCCCAAAACCAAAATACTAACCCCAAATCCAACTCTGAACCACTTACACAAGAAGATGCCTTCCCTAACCAACCTCAAGCTCTTCAAGCACCCCAACCCCTACAAAACTGCCCAAATCCCTACTCGCGCTAGTCACCCAGATACCCAGGTGAAGCAATCTTCCACCCCAGTTATGCATGCTCCCGTCCAGGTCAAGTACGCTCTCACTCAATTCAAGCATGCTATCGCCCAGGACAAGCATGCTACCACCCTAGGAGTTCATCCATCTATTCATACGCCCACACCCATTTCTAAGAAGCTCGAAACCTCAGAGGACGACTCAGAGGACGAAGACGTGATGAATATGATCAAGCCTGACCCGGAGGAAGTAGGTGAACACTGGGATGAGATGGAAGATCTCACAGAAGACCGTGAGTGGACTGTTGAGCAGCTGATGGATGATGCACGCCCAGGACGTCGTCACGCTGCTTAGACGCCTGGTCTGATTCCGACAGCCATATGATTCAATTTCATCAAAATGCAGTAGGAACTACACTGTAAGGCAGGGACATACCATGAAGTTCTGACCGTCTCAGAGTAAAGACCATGCAGCCTGGAAGTTCTCAAGATGAAGACCATGTAGCTGACTTTCCCAGGCCAAAGAGAGTAGCATTGATCGTAGCACACCGTCTACCCCACACCCATCACTCATAGTAACGGTAAAAAAAATTAGAAAATCATTAACTATTATCTTATTCCAAACCACATGTACGTGATCAACCATTGACCATTCCTCAGTGCCCATGTCCCAGCGCCCAGCGCCTCGCTAAATGTCCCCCAAAAAACTCCCGCAATGCAAAACGCCCCAACCCAAACCTCAACTACTCGTTTGTTGCTTTAGTCTTCTTACTCATCCGTTGCATTCATCTTCCCCATCTCAACCCCTACCTCATCCGTACTCATCCTCTCCCCATCCGGCCCCCTCCGTCCACCCCCTACAAACCCCCACACACTGACCCCCGCAACAATCCATGCCGCAATGAGAAACGGCACCATAACTGCCCGTCCCGCCGTCTCAATCGAACACTGCTTAGCGTAGTCATCGCGAACCATGCCCGCGCCTTCGACGCTTTTGAGTGAGCAAGCCCAGGTTTCGAGGTCGAAAGTGCCGCGGTCGTAGCGGAAGACGGGGTCAGATGGGCTGGCGATGGTTGGAGTGGTGGAGGTAGAGTTGGCGGTGAGTTCGGAAATGTAGGTGGGGCGGTAGGTAGAGGAGTTTGTGTGGGTGGTGTAGATTGCGACGAGGGCGAAGAGGACAAGGATGGCGTTGACGATGTGGATGAACATTGTGTTGCGGCGGAAGGCATTCGATTGAGTCTTACGAGAACGTTAGCTATTTTTGGATGAGGTTTTTGGGGAAGGGTCAATGACGTACCCTTTTCCCGCTCTTCCAGTCGATGATTACGAGGGCTAAGTGGCCTGTGGCGAGGGAGAGGCTGATGGCTGCGATGATGATGGCGAGTTTGGTTGGTAGGGTGTGGAGCATTCGTGGTAAGGCGGCCATGATGATGTTTCCGTTCGTGCTGCTGGTGGTGTCTGGGTCGAATAGGAAGCCGGTCATGCGGTTGTCTTCAACGAAACTGTATGTGATTGCCTTGAGCGTCATGACGAGTATGGCTGTGATGAAGAGAGCGAGGAGAGAGGCGCCATAGATTTTTCGTGCTATCCGGTGATGTGGACATGAGTTCGTATCGAATGGATGGTTGAACATGGGCGAGTCATCTTGTTTCCGAGGGAGTAGAGACTGGACTTTGGCGATTAATGGTGGCAGACTGAATTTGGACTTTTTTGTGTCGGCCATTTTCTGATCTTGACTCGTCGTTAAGGGTAACCCCTAAGGTTTACGTTTGGTCGGTCCGGTTGTAATGGCTCACTTCTGGAAAGAAGTTTGAAGCAAGTCTTGCCGTGTGGCGACTATGTAGACATCAGTCGGCTACCAATCAGGTACTGCAGAATAAAAGGAATGAAAGATTGGGACGGCTCGGGAGACGGCATGCGATACGGTCAGGTTAGATATTATCCAAAATCCATCTGACAAACAGAACAACACAAATGCCACGTCAGGCACCCGTGCCGTACCTCATGCTATCATTACCCTCTATTCGAGCTTAGCTGTCAATGCTGCTATGCCAGCATATGGCTGGTCTGAGGCCTCTGTCAAGGTGTTGCCTGAACGGTCTGGTATGTATCCGACAATTTTTGTGTACTTGGTAATGCAATGACAGGTGTCAAACACTTGTTGTGGTTTTGTATTGGCTGTTTGGGAGGTTCGTGACAACAAGTGTGTGAGATGCGCAACGTGCACTGTCCCCAGACTGAACCCACGATGGTTCTCTCACGTCGCAATAACACGGGCAATTAAGCTGAATGCGTATTTATTTTTGTGTCCATACATAAGGCAGAGACAGACGGGATTGATATGCGGAGCATTTTGGCGCCACTTCTTTTTAATACTCCGCATGAGATTGGATACGTACCCCTCGTCGCAAATGAATTGGGATGCAATGATTGATAATACCACCGTGCCTCGTAGATATTGTCTGTTAATTATTTGAGAATGACGCGCGCGCCTGAACAATGGCTGCACACATTCTGAGGCTGGGCTCTAATTGCCATGTAGCGACAATGTTAAGCATAATGCCAATGCTGAATCATGCCTCAGGTTCTGCTACAAATCAGATCGGTGAGGATGCTGTTTGGCCGGGGTATTGTATCGCTTCTCGATTGAACCCGCTTCGGTTTCTTGTAGCGAGATATATCCTTATGCTTTATTAGAACTCAGAACACGCACATACGCGTGATATCATAAACACTGTTAACATCCACATGTGCGAGAGCTGCGTGAATGGAGAATTTGTCATGTCCATTCGCTGTGCCGTGAGGGGGGGGTGCACGCTTAGTTGCAGCTGTACAAAGCAAGGGTCATTGATCTGGACATGAGAAGTGTCATGCTGGATAAGTACATAGTAGGCTGCGTCCTACAGCTGTCCTACTGTGAAGCCGAATAATGTCGGTCAGACGTTGGGATGACCGTGCATCTGATGGGTGATGTCACATGTAGTAGACAGCCGAGCGCTAATTGTGTGCAAGTCGCGAGAAACCAACGACGCGTTCACACGACGTCCTTTCTTCAACAACAATAATTCTCAACACCCACCATGGCTTTTACAGCACTCAACAACCGCCCGTCGGCACCCGTCGTGCCTGTACAAGCCCCTGCGCCAGTGTCAGAACCGGCCCCGGCTTCGGTACCGACACGTGCGCCGCATCCCCAAGAAATCGATGTCGCCTTTGCTAGTAATCACGAGCTGCGGAAGCGCGTACACGCCGCCATAGGTATGTTTCTTTTCAAAGAATGCATTGAATTGCAATTGAACATACGAGGTAGATCAATATCCAGCACAAAGTACATTATTTCGCGACATTTCAACATATATCCTCAATCAAACCTCGCAACCTGCCGCTGAACCAGCGACTAAGAAGCGCAAGATTGAGGAGAGCAACAGCGTGCAGAAGGCCCCATCCGCAACTGGGGGCAGCCTCACAAGTGCTGCAACCCCAGCATTCAAGACATACGCTGGTGTTAGCTTCTCGATACCGCAGCGCAAGAAATTCACCCTCGAGTTACTGGACAAGAAGGACGGTGGCATACGGGCGATTGGTGCGAGCGGAAATGTCGAGTTTTCAATTGCGTGGAAAGATGTTGACCAGGTTTTCTGCCTGCCTATTCCTGAAAAGGCGAAGAAGCAGCACAACTTTGTCATTATACCACTACATGGAGACGGTGTTGCCCCCGTACCTGAAGAGCTAAAAGCCTCACCGCCAGAGCCAATCGTGTGGACGTTTGAGGAAGCTACGGGAAAGAACATTGTAGAAGGCGAGGACCCAGGGCCAACTGCAATGGCCGACGCAATACACCACTGCCTGATACAAGCAGGCACAGGAAAGCATGTCGTCTTTCCCGATTCAGATGAATTCGCAAGCGCGATCCCGGAGAGCCACAGAAAGGGCGAGAAGGCATACCACGTAAAGGCACACCGAGGAAGTAAAGAAGGTGCGATACTGCTTCGCGTTATTTCCGCGCGTTACACCTATTGACACTGGCTAGGCTATCTATTCTTCACCTCTGTAGGTATTCTCAACGGCTTTAAAAAGCCCCTCGCCTTCTTCGACTTCGCCGCCATAACCAGCATATCCTACACCGCCGTCCTTCGCAATACGTTCAATCTCGTCATCACCACACCCACCGGTGATATCGAATTCGGTATGCTTGACCAAGCAGACTTTGCCGGCATAAATGAATATGTGCAGAAGCACGGTCTTCAGGATGCTAGTTTGGCAGCCGACCGACGTGCTAAGAAGCTTAATGTGAACAAGGTTGGCGGCAAGAAGGACGCTGCCAATACCGCTGAGGCTGAAGGGGCTGCGGAAGAAGAGGAGAGCGAGTTACAAAAGGCAGAGAGGGAATTACAGGAACAGGAAGACGACGAAGAAGAGGATGACGATTTTGATCCAGGGAGTGAGGGCGAGAGCGAGGGATCGGGATCGGACAGTGAGGACGATGAAGAAGGTGAGGGGTATGAGGAGGGCGATACTGCAGAGATTGAGCCTGACGAGGTGGACCATGATGAGATGCAACACTAGTGATGATCTGGAACTCGGCATAAATACCCAACATCGCCTTTTCTCCTTCAGCATGCATGAACTGCCTATCCACATGATACCTTTCCTTGTCTTCGGAAAAATCCTGGCTCGATAGGATTTTCCTGGCTACGCGCCTACCCTTATGCTCAGATGCCGGATCTCTTCACGACTTGATTGATGTGTTTCCTATGTGTTCGAAATGTATTCATCAGGAAGTGACGCCAGTAACCTAGCTATCGGGTGCGCACTGCCATACCTTCCGCTACAGAAGTTACTGCCCGTTACACCACCCAGATTGTCTGTCGATGACAGCTGTACTCTTCTCCCCATGAATAAGGTTTGTCAATCGGGAAGCGAGACATGAATCTCCCCTCATCGCATCCTCTGGAATATCAACACACTATTGCCAACACAGTCTACATACAATTCTTGTTGGTTTTCTAAGCTTACGAGGCCCCTACCAATTTGCATCCCATCGATCTCCGTAATCAAAACGAACTGGTTCAAGATGAGCCTTTTCTTCATGGCCTGCCTTCTAGCGATATATCTACCTATCATCAACGTATAACTCCCCTACTTCCTTCAAACCGCCCCCTTTCTCTCCGCGCCGCTTAACAGTTACAACAGGAAGCTGATCCCCGCTATACCAACGGACACCACTCCTATGATGTCGCTTATGACCATGCGGGACGGCCACGGCGCCGCAATAACCAGGTTCGAAGAGTGGAGAAGAGGCGACGAGTGGTGCGGATAGTCGAACCGGAACGAGCGAAGTGGAGCCGGAAGAGATCCAGATCCAAGCGACGTCGCCGAAGAGATTACTGACACTGAAACCTGAAGGAAAAAGGAGATGCAGCAGGGTGGAAGGGGTCGGAGAGGATACTTGGAACTCTCCGTTTCTGCAACGGGGGATATACAAGATAATCGGGAAAGACAATCATCGCATTTTGCCTTCTAGACCACGTATACAACCCGGAATAGTGGTGGAAGCAAGCTGTATGACGGGACAGCTGTTTCTTTCCGACAGCGATGACAATGACAAGCGCGTCTGCAAATGATGGCCGGCACATATATGCACTGACCAAAACATTAATCACCTACAAATCCTCTACTTTCAATGACGCAAAACATTTCAATTCAGGAGATTCCATCTCTTGCAATCGACGATTCCCAAAAATGAAGCAGAAGCATAGAAAAAAGGATGGCTTCATGTCAGATGTACACTTTTGTCTCGCTATCCTAGCATCCTTGCTGGCTACTTTCATATTTGTAGTTCCTATAGTGCACGTATTCGCATGGTTTCTGACACGCACACAGCAGCCACACTGGGGAATGCACAATGATACATCAAGAAAAGACCGCTTTTTTGTATGCTATGAACTTGTCGCATCCCAGACCCGACTCAAATTATTATCTACATCTCCCAATACATCCCATTTCGTAGACTCCCTTCTCAAACCCGAGTTTGATTCGTATCCATCCTCTCAATATTCTTCTCCCCCTCCGACTCCTCCGACTCATGCGTCCCCCGGCGCATAAGGTCCTTCGTGACAATCGGCCTCCGAACCTGATGACGACTATGCGGATTATCCGGACACTGAAACGCCGCTGCCTCATGGTCATCAAAGTCCTGCCCCGGATTCACAGTCTCGTAATCGACAGCCTTGACAACCTTGTATACCCCACATGCCAGCAGCGATCCCATGATCGGCCCAAACCAGTAGATATAATGGTAACTGGGGAAATCGCCCGTGACGACGCAAGGTCCAAAGCTACGCGCGGGATTCAGACTGCCGCCTGTGAAAAAGACACCGAGCATCTCCGCAACGAACAATGCCATGCCAATTCCAACAGGGGCAAGAAACGTCGCCTTGTGCTTTTCGGCGGCAAGCATGAAGACAGTAAAGACAAGTAAGGAGGTTAAGAACATTTCGAGAAAGACACCGCGAGCGGGAGATATGCCTGCGCTCAGCGTCGTGCTTACGGATAAGGGACCTGGCAAAATGGCGTGAACAACGCCTGCAGCCGCAATACCGGCAAGCACTTGCGCTACGAAGCACATGATTGCCCGGGGAAGAGGCACGCTGCCGATAAGGTAGAGACCTAGCGTTACCTTTGCAGCAGCAAAACAAAAGTCATCAGCCCAAGAAACTCAAGTCTCGTGTTGACTTCGCTTGGAGATTACAGCGAGTGAAATAAGGGGGGCAGGACTTACAGCAGGATTAAACAACCCCCCACTGACTCTGAAGAAACACCACACATTGATCATTAGACTGAACCCAAACACCAAGCTAATGTACAGCAACACGCTCGTGTCAGGTACCTGGAGAATATCGTCGGAGTTTGTGTTGGAATCGGATCGGTTGGCTTGGTTACTGTTGTTCGCGACGCTGGTGCCGCCAAAGGCAAAGAAGAGGAACATGAATGTGCCTGCGAACTCTGCTAGTGCGGCTACAGAGCGGTTGTGCCAGTTGTGTGAGATGAGCGTTGTGCGGACTCTGGTGCCCTTATGGCCGTGTGTAATGGATTCTATGTGGTGCCTGCCATGGGAATTGCTGGGGTGAGAGTCTTGGGGTTCATTCTGAGGGGCTTCAGGATGGGATTGGGATGGTAGGATGTCGTTTTTGTGAAACGGAAGGAGGTTTTTCAGGGGCATGATGGCTTTCAACCCTCCTTTTTGAGGTTGGTGAGGCTATTTATGGGTGTGAAGAGTGAATTGTATGACTTTGGACAGGAGCATTGAGTTCATTGCTACAACGAAATTGGGAGGCTACACTTTGGGCTTTTAATTGTCGACGATAGAGACGGGAGCATTTGGATGACGATTGCGCACCGAGACGAGGGATATGACGCAGCAGCAGGATATGACCGCATCGCCCGTTGTTTGATACTGCGACAGCTTTCAAATTTTCCCTTTGGCAAGACCCTATTCGTTCTTCACCCCTACTTGCAGGCTCGAACGGGCTGGAGCAGGTCTTTGATCTACAGAACATATCGTGGTAACTTTCCGCAACCCCGCTGCTAAGTGTCTTGTGGTTTTCGATATATCCCTCATTTGATACTTCAATTCATCCATATTACTCCACACATATAACCCATGTGTTCAAACCCCCTTTCCTCGAATATTTTTCCTGGAAATTTCAAATTTCAGCTGAAAGTGCAGAGTTTTGCATGGGTGAAGGGGCTAGAATCTATGAAGTAAGACCGCTCACGTATTCTCAGCCCCCGAAATCATAGTCGTAGCCAAGGAAAAAGCAATAGGACAGTTGCGGGGTGAACTTATGTTCGCACATGGACAACATCTGATTTTCAACGTTCATGCAATTGCCTATACGTCGATCCATAAGTTCAATTGACACGTCGCAAAATTTCAATTCCAGCTCGGTCTGGTCGCAACGGTCTTCAACGGCTGTGGTAAGATTCAGCTTTCAAGGTGGGGGCTAGTGCGGTGTCACCAAAGTATGATTGCTGGGTTTAGGTGTAGATCTGATCAGCGGCTCGTGGCTGTATGCCCGAAAATTTCCCCCAAAATGGATTGGCGATGCTCAATTTTGGAATGCTGACTTCTAGGTATGGGGGCGAGTAGGTAAGATCTGCGAGGTGCAGTGGGGGATGTGGAGAAGAGACATGTGAGGGATCGGCGTCGGCGCTGTTGTAATCGCGACGCGGTAGCGAAGCTAGAAGCGCGACGCCTTCTACGTATGTGCTACGTATTTGAATCGCACATGTCAATACTACTATGCGCAATCAATACGAATTGTGAAGAAAACACGAAGCCGAAAATGAGGCCACTTGCGATGTGTCGTGAAAAAGCCTGATATGCCAGGTGTAGTATTTGTACTCGGCTTCACCGGCACTTAGCTTAGTGTGCGTTTACGTTCGTGAGAGGCAATGTATTCTAGTATCACATGTGAATATACGGAAGACAATATTCTGGTAAGCCATTCAGCTGACATTGATGCTGATAACCAACGAATGGTGTGCGCATTTTGTGTTTTGGCTACTGTGCGTGTTACAGCGAATTGTATGCGAGCATGAGTACCAGCTAGCAAAGATACCAAGTAATTCCTCAAGAATTATATCCGAGCCGTCACCAGCGTAATATTTCTCCTCAAAACCTTTGTACAGATTCCATCATCAGAGCTTTTGTATGCTTTCAATTCGAAACAGGTTCAACAAATGTAGTTCTATACGAGGTTTTCGTCGAGGCTATGAATAGACACCCATACTTCACACTCTTAGTAAACTGCAATGACCAGCAGTATAACGATTGTGCGCTAAGCTTTCACTCGAATACGATACACTCCCTTGAAAAACCAAAAATCTCATGTTGTTCGAGTGCGGATATGTTAGAAAGAGATGTGACGCAGATTGTTTTGTTAATGCCTGGTATTTTTCCTTTTGGTTTTCAACCAGATTTACAGCTCTGTGTATTATGTTAGATTTTACATGGAATTTTTGAAATCAGCAATCCAGTAAGATAGCGATTCAATACATACTACTGCATAAGTTGTTGCAATTTTCATATCTGAGTGTTTCAATCAACGCAGAAGTATGCTATCATGAAACATCATACATCTATTGTTTGAGTCGATGAGATCGAGGAAGATCTAGTACATTGCTTATTCTACAACTCAGATAAAAGAACGAATTCTTTTTCGAAGTTTGAGAATTCTCTAAAACTAATCGCTGTTGTTCTGATGCACGAGGTTGTGCACAGCACTCGGCTTATTGATTGCGCACTAGAGTACTACAAGTACAAGGCTTTTCACTGTAGGTCATAGACATCCATTCCATGACAGGCAAAATCTATTCATTCGCCAAATGAATTCTTTACTTCCCTTCCCAACCGATATTCTCAAACCTGATTGGCTGATTTCGACTATGTGCACCCTCTAACAAATGGTATGATCTCTTCTATGTTACAACCTCACCGCTTGTGAGATATTCAAAATAACCAGAGATAAGAAGAGATGTATCACTGTTATCGTCAAGTATCTTACAGGTGGCAGTATCTTACATATAGGACGTCATTTCCTTGATTTGATGATCATACAGATGCCAGCCTTCATCTTCGAAGAAAACGGCTAATGTGCATATTCAATAGTTTCTAGTACCAGCCATGTAAACACTTGTATGCACAGAGACGATAGCTCTTACCATTTCTTGGACGAAAACCAAGTTACTCTATGTGCCAAGAGGAGAAGTGACGCAGTCATGCATGCTCCTTCCAACGGCGAACCATCTCCACACTGCCGCTTGCAGGGACATACGGCTTTCGATCAAACCGTTGCGTCTACTCTCATAGCGTACCGTAAAATCTATGACTCTGCATGAACCGCAGTCCTGATCCTCATTTGTCCATTGTCACAGCCAACTCGCCTTTTCATCATGTGCTCTCGCGACCACCAAGTACTCGTTTCATGCGCACAGACAACTCGATCAGTGTACCGGCCATGAAGTGGTACATCAACCCCTATTGTACACAGACAAAACCACCAAGTATTTTTGTCTCAATGGGTTACTTTTTGTGGGCCGGGCCTCTTTGGGCGAACTCTTTTGGACACTCTGGGGCTGGTGTACATTATGCTTTTTCCTTGGGTAGCTAAGTAAGTACCCAGAACTGCGCGGATGATACGGCAAACTAGTCGTAGTTGTTCCGAAATCGGTCCAAGTTAGGAGGACGCAACGTTCATTGATGTGCGTGGTAGCCAGAAGACTAGTGTTGATCACGTGAAGAATACGTCTCGTGAATATGGGCTCCAATAGTACTGAAAACCATGTCTACCTGCCTCCTCAACTCTGATCTGCGTTGAAGAGTAGTCTGGCATGGCAGGTAGATATGATGAGGTTGGGGTCGGTGCTCTTGTGGAGAAAGTTACTGGACGTGATGCTCTGTAGGCGGCAGCTGTATATGGATTCTTCACATGCGACCTACATTTCCTAGGTAACGATCTCAACGTGCTCAACCCAAACTCTTAAAATTCTAGAATGTTCAGAGCGCATTCCTAGCCCAACAAGCAAACAGACCCAAAACACTTGAGTACAAGCAGGTGTAGAATCAGTCCCACTCACTGCGGTTCTCGGCACGCTAATCAACCTCCTTCATGACGACCACTCTCTTCACCACTACCCAACCCCCCATTCTAAAACACCGAGACACGATCCAGCGTTACTCCACTTGCTCTGGCTATCGTGTCAGCGTAAAATAGGCACGGCTCGGCTGCTCACGTCCCCCAGATCCTGTTTCGGAAGTCCAAAAATGATCGACAGCGCCACCCGGCTCCCCATCTCAATTCCCGCTGCTGATTCTGCATAGTCTTACATGAACACGAGTGTCTCTGAACTGCCTATATGCAGGGTAATCGAAATACCAACTACTACTAAGTGATATAATGAGCAATTGATGGAGGAGCTATTCATAGGTATAACTAAATGCAGCGATCGGAAAGACTAAGAGTGTGGCGCATAGGTGAAGGTGTGGAACATCGGTGGTTTTGGGACCGGCACACCGATGCTTTTGACTGATGTGAGTGGTGTAGGAGAGAATGATCGCATTCGTCGGTGACACTCGCCGTCTTACTGCCCTCGGGCTCGTATTCTTCGTGTGCTGCGGACTCAGAAATCATCCTTGGGGTTTGGAACATGGACGATGACGGGAGTGTGCGCCTGCTTCTTATTTCAGTTTCACAATGCCATGAAACTTGAGTGCTCACATTCCTGTGCTTCATCCCTTAAGGACTTTTGATAGAAATCCAACTCTTGATCCATATATCAAGACGTACGCCCAAGGCACACGCACGCGTTGCCCACAGCTGAGGTCCGCATTCACGGAGCTTCGGCGCCAGCCACATCCAACGCACCCACCCCCCACTCATTGACCGAGAACCGATAAGCAAGAATCAATATCGACACTGGCAAATGGCGGCGCTCCCACCAATTGTACCGCTGTTCCGTAGGGGGCCTGGCCCGGCAGCCCCCGTATCAGCCCGGACATCAAGCGAGTTTACGTTCACGGATGCAGCATCGTCCCGCGTCATGTCGCTCGATGAACGGAATTTAATCGCAAGTCTAATCGCCGATCTCTCCGACAACTGTGAGACGGCTTTTGCAAGAGCACATATCCAAGCCCACGAGTGGGGACCAAGATATTCAGAAATAACAGAGCGAGATTGCACCGACCGACATTTTAGTAGACTATCGCGCCCACGGACTCGTGGTACCGCCACCTCATACACGCCTTCGAATTTACGCGAGGATCTCCGCGAGATCCGACCCTATCTGCGCGAAAGCACATTGTTGGCACTAGAAGGAATATTAGCAAACGGGATGGGACTAAGAGACGAGATGCCAAATACCCCAAAACCCCCGACATCGCCTCTGGCATCCTCTCCTTTGTCACCTCAATCTGGCGAAGGCTACTACGTACCCGTCATACTAGACTCCCAACAACCGTCCGGACGCTCCAGCTACTCGCGACCAACCAGCGTCAAATTCGACGACGAGCCGGACGAGTCTGGTATCTTTGCCCGCGACAAGCGACGGAGTACGAAGAGCAACCTTCGACACCCAATGGACGACACCACACCCCCAGACAACCTGAGGTCGACGTTTGAGAGCGACATGGCGGGCACCATCCCACCCGCGCCAGCCTATCCTTCAAAAGCCAAAACGGCTATTATTATGTTTTCTTTGTATATTGCCATTTTCCTCGTCGCCCTCGACAGAACTATCATTGGACCCGCTATTCCCGCCATTACAAACGACTTCAAGAGCATAGACGATATCGGCTGGTACGGCAGTTCGTACATGCTTACGGCCGCCGGTTTCATCCTGCTCTACGGACGAGTCTACACCTTCTTTTCGACAAAAGCTGTTTTCCTATCTGGTATTTTCTTGTTTGAAATTGGCAGCGTCGTTTGCGGCGCTGCGACGAGCAGCACCATGCTCATTGTTGGGCGCGCTATTGCGGGCCTCGGTAGCAGTGGTATCTTCACAGGCGCAATCCTTATCATGCTCAACACTGTGCCGCTCGAGAAGCGGCCGATGCTTCAAGGTCTTTTTGGCGCGTGCTTTGGCGTTGCGTCCGTGGCTGGGCCCTTGCTCGGTGGAGCGTTCACCCAGAGTTCGGCATCGTGGAGATGGTGCTTTTGGATCAACTTGCCGCTCGGAGGCGTTACGATTCTGGTTGTGTTTTTTATGCTCAAGTTGGATGAGCAGAAGCAGAAGCTGAAGGGTTGGGGCGAAATTGTTCGACAGTTGGATCCGCTTGGTACCCTGCTCTTTCTGCCATCAATCACCTGTCTTCTTCTTGCCCTGGAATGGGGTGCCGCTGAGTACTCGTGGTCGTCGCCGAGGATCATCGTTCTTCTCGTCGTCTTTGCCGTACTCCTTGTCGCTTTCACTGCATGGCAATATGTTACTCGCCACACTACGGCTACCATTCCCGCACACATCATTCTTCAACAGAGTGTCGCTTGCGGTGGTGCATCTCAGTTCTGCGTCGGAGCAACCATGCTTACGGTCTCGATTTACATTCCTCTCTGGTTCCAAGCCATCAAGGGCGTATCGGCAATGCAGTCTGGTATCAACACCATTCCACTTGTCCTTTCGGTCGTGGTGGGCTCAATCCTGTCAGGTGGGCTGGTACAGCGTTTTGGATACTACACTCCATTCATGATCTTTGGGTCTGTCCTCATGGCCCTCGGAGTTGGTCTTATCACAACATGGAACGTGAACACCAGCAGCGGCATGTGGATTGGCTACCAGATCCTTGTGGGTTTTGGAGTTGGAAGCACCATGCAGCATCCCAACATCGCTGTCCAAACCGTTTTGCGGAAGCAAGATGTGCCAACTGGAACAGCCATTCTTTCACTATGCCAGACATTGGGTGGAGCAGTCTTTACCGCAGTCGGTCAAAACCTGTACATCAGCAAGTTCACCGATGGCCTGAGGGAGATCGGTGGTCTTGAACCCCAACGCGTACTTGGTGCCGGAGCAACGGAAATTACCAAGAATGTACCGGACGATGTCAAAGTCAGAGTGCTGGAGGCCTACAATGTCGCCTTGACAAAGGGAACCTTCTTCGCAGCGCTTATCATTGCTTGCTTTGCCTTGCCGGCGGCTCTGGGTATGGAATGGCGCAGCGTCAAGAATAAGCAAGAACAGCCACCAAATGCTGCACCCAATGGAGACGTGGAGAAGCAAGATTCACAAGCGCAGCCACCTCGTGGTATCTTGAAGAATTCGACCGCCCCTGAAGGACAAGACGATGCTCCTCTTGCCCCACCGGCTCCATCGTGGAGGAAGACCTTCCGAGCCAGTGGCCATTTCTCGTCGTACTTGACTGCCAAGGTCAATCCTGATCTCCGGGGTGAATTGAAAGCGCCTAAATAGGGTAATGGATGGTTTTAATGTGTAATATGCCGACTTCAGTTAGATATCCCGAAGTAGATTAGATTATTTTTCAATATATTTCCACGTGTATACGGCAAATGCCGGATCGCGTCCCACGTTTCCCCCCAACAATGGTAGTACAAGAACGAAAAGATGTGGTCATCTCACGTGATATTAGGTGGTGCAACAATCTGTTTTCGCTCTCCACAAGCCGAGTCAAGATACACACACATGTCACTGTGCAGAAATGGACGCTGCGTTGCAACTCCACCAGTGCGTCCGGCATCCTACCCGAGTCTACAATCGGTTGAACCTGTAGATCCGTCAGCGCAAGCACCAAGATATGCAGTTGGGTGCGCCACGTCTTCTTGATGCAATGAAACAAGCAAGGCCTAGCTTTGGCAAAGCTTGATAAATCTACACGCAGATCAACGCCAACGACACCGTGTCGTTCTCTCAAACCACATACTCCATAAGCGAGTGATGCATGCTGCGTTGTCAACACCGAGTAAGCGACTGTTCGTATTCAATGAAGCCATGTTGGTGTGCGATGCGGCTATTGTCATGGCCCCGAATAGAGTTCGCCAATCTAATTAGAGACCGGAACCCGCAGTGCTGGTTCGTTTTCATAGTCCAAGCGTATGATTGGCTTACACCAAGCCTCGAGGCTCTTCACGAGGATCATTACATCGCAGCAAGAAAAGTAACCTGCACTGTTCATTTGCTGCCTGCAGCACAGAACGAGATCTCCGGCATGGGACGCCTGCCGCAAATAGACATTCGCTGGCCGAGGCTCCGACTCGCCTGACCTGTGAATCTGAAAGGCGGTCGCGGCTGTTGCGCTTCCGCCATACGGGTTGTCTAGAGCGGCACCAGAAATAAGGTCCAGCCAAAAGCCTAAAGGGTGCAAGACATCCATACTGCAATCACGGTTCCCCGCAGGTGTCTCAGTCATTCCCCAGTGTGGCTGCGGTCATCGAGGTAACAATAGAGTTGGCCCCGGTGAGACTACAAGCTGACTCTCCAGGTGCAGGGGCCCGATTGGCATGTCAAAGCGGTATCGATCAGCTCGGCCTCCCAAAAGAAAGCCGGTATTGTGCCACTTTTTCCCACGTCAACAGCTACTGCGTTGAGCTACTGCGTCGGAGATTATAGAGGAGAGACGAGTACGATCCGCGGTGCGTGGGGAAAAGCGAACATGAGTGTGCACAGGCACCTCGAATATCGGTATAAGGACTGCCTCAAGGTAGCCCTCGTTGATCAAGCTGGACTCTCGAATACCTTGTCCCCCTGCTCCCCTCTCTTGTATTTTTTTGTAGCGATTTAACACGTGCTTGGCACCATGGCATCTCGATCCGTTCATATTGTGTTGAGTGTCGCATGGCAAGATGCTGGAGACACCACACGCGCAATTGCCATGGCCATCGCATTGCGAGACATGTGCCCCCCTGATGTCGACCTCAAGATTGACTTTTTGTCGTGCGGTGCCCGGTTTGAGTATCAGATTACAGATGCCGGCTTTAACATTGTTGCTGCTCAGCCGCGCGTAAAAGGCATTTCGGTAGCACACGACCTTGGCTGGGACTGGCCAGAGTTCTTCGGCTCGGAGGAGATTGCCAAGTCCTTCATTGATGGTCAGCTTGCTGCTTTCAAAGAACTGAAGCCCGACATTGTGTTCCATGGCATGTGGGCTCCAGCTTCCATCGCTGCACGACTCCTCGGCATCCGCACCATCAACTTTCTACCAGTCCCTCTGCACCCTGGAGCATTCTGTCATGGTCTGATCAGGGATCTTCCTGATATGATGCCGCTCTTCACTCGCCTTCCTCGACCAGTCCGACAACGTATAGCATGGTGGGGAAGTGGCTTGATGACAAAGGCTCCCATCTTCCAGCAAAAGCGCTTGGGCGCAGCAGCCGCCGCCGCTGGATGGCCCATCTCAGGGCCCATTTCACTCTTTGACATGAACATGGCAGATCTCAACCTAGTCAATGATCATCCAATCTTCCACCAAGAGTACCTCCACCGTATACCCAAGAACATTGTTCTTACGGGTCCACTGTACGCGCGAAACGACTCCAAGCTAGACGACGATATAGCAACTCATCTAACAAAGGGACCTGGCCCATCCATTCTGGTTACCATGGGCAGTTCCGGCACAGAGGAGTTCTTGTTCGAGGCAATCAAGGCTCTTAACATGAACCCTGATGACAACTGGAATGCGGTTGTCCTGGCTTCGAAATCAATCTGCGACATTAACAAGGCAAACGAAGTCGCTAACGGGGATCCACGCCTGTTGGTGACGGACCGATTCATCCCAGCATCTGCTGCCAACGCACTTGCTGATCTCATCGTTACCCATGGAGGACAGGGAACCGTCCAATGTGCCTTGGCTGCCGGAAAGCCTCTTGTAGGAGTTGCGCTACAGGTCGAGCAGCAGACGAACCTGGACAACGCGATGAATGCCGGTGCTGGTATCCGCGTACAGAAGCACATGTGGAAAGCGAAGAACATCCGCGCCACAATACTATCAGTCCTGAACAACCCGACTTACGGCAACAAAGCTAGGGCTCTGGCGGACACGTTGAACTCGATGGACGGTGCGAAGACAGCTGCAGAAGTCATGTGGAAGTTCATCCTGGAAGAGCATTCTGAGAAGGTGAAGTCATAGACTCCTGAGAATCTGGAGATATGCTCTTGTGTCGTCCTTTTGTTTGTGAGGTTTCAGAGTACCGTAAATGTTCTAGAAGCGATGCGTTGGCGTTACTATGTAATTATCGATTCCCTTGCTCATCTCATCGTTGCATATTCCCACTATTCAAACTTTTTCCAATGCAGTAAGCCATTTCGTGATTGTACGTCAGAAAGGGTTGAAGTTTTATGAAGTGAGACAAGTGAAAGTAACGCGATGCTGTACTGAAAGCGCAGGGGACGATCAGGTACTTGACAGCACGTGCTTCGGAGGCTTGGCGAGACTGGGTACTTACCGTCTTCCTGATTTACTGATGAGTACGTACGGAACATTGTCTAGTCCACTTCTTCTTGAACAAAAGATTTACCAATATCACTGCCCTTGAAAACTACTTTTGCGCCATTGAAGAAATTGTACATTGCTACTCGCCCCCACGCCATCCAGCACCATCAGTATATACTCACTGAAAGTATACGCAATCACACTCACATTTCCGGAGACACGTCTCTTGCCAAGTTTTATGCTAAGGAATTATCACCGAATTATCGGTGTGTCAAATACAAAAGCAAAGGTATTGGCGACTGAGTGAGAATATGACGCGTGGTTCTGAGGTACTTTATGTACACCTACGTATGAGTAGTTAGATCCTGGTGTATGTACGACAACATGCATTCGGGATAGATGAAGCCAGCCAGCCAGCCACACAACGCACGCGATGACTTTCCTCATCGAAATACCCCCATAGTTTCCTGATTTTTCGACCAATGCATCCTTCAGTTGTAGATTATCTAGTCATTCCACCAGCCTATAAAACTAGAGTTGGTGTGTGTAAGTATAGTGTCATGTGTTGGCGGGGCAAGTCATGCACAACATGTAATTCCTCGATAGACGCCCATGACCCCACCACCTCACAAGACCCAGTTGCGGCACGAGCCGCATGATATGTATATGCCTCATGCGCCTTTTCCATGATCTCAAAAAGCATCTCGCCACTTTGTGATCCTCTCTACTCTCTGTTTCCATCCGATACTATCCAACCCTCAGGAGAGCGTCTCAGCCCAACGCACCCCCACCTCGGCAGCCAATCACGATCCGCTACGTCGGTCGTCTCCATCTTTCCCATCCAGCGGGGTCATCAGAACCCGTGAGGGAATGCCTGTAGCAGCCCAGCTTAGCGCTGCGCGGGTGCCCAAAAACAACGCGTCTTCTTAAATATTACAATCCCCGGCATTTTTGCGTCACTTCTCCCCACCGTGGTTACCCTTGGAAGTTTTGTGTGTGTGTGTGAGAGATCTGGCTACTTTTGTGGAATCATGTCGGAACTAGTTGTTGCTGGCCCCGCGCCCCCGCCGCCCATGACATTTCGCGAGCGGTTGACCCAGTTTAGGATTCTCGAAGAGAAGCGATGTGAGCTTATTGAGGTATGTGTACCTCTCCAGTCTCTATGACCATAGCGCTTTCAGTCGTGTGCGCCATAGAGTTGTCGCTGGATACTCACCGTCAGAGCAGGAACTGCTGGACAAGCTGGAAAAGACAGAAGAACGCCTTGCGCAAACCGAACTGGATCTCGGGTCTGAACAGAATGTTAGACGAACACTGCAAGCGGAGATTGCCGAGACGACGAGAACAATGCAGGCGCAGATAGACGAGTCAAAGGCGAAAGAGGAAGCGTTAGTACAGCAACAGGCGAAGCGACCGTTCGTGATCGTCCTCATAGATGCCGATGCGGAAGGCTTTCTGGTACATAGTCCCCTTAGTATCCCCCAAAAAAACATATGGTCGCAGGTTTGTAACGTGATATATTGTATAGTTCCAAGACAAGTACATCACTCGCAAAGCCCAAGGCGGCGAATCTCTCGCCGACGAACTCAACCTCCGGATCCGAGAATACCTACGAGAACTCTTTGAAGATGCAGACTCGCTTGATATCATCGTACGGGTATATGCCAACCTCGAGGGCATGGCAAACTACCTTGTGCGGCTCGAAAAGGTGCGCAACTTGGGTCAGCTTCGTGCCTTCTCCACCGGCTTCTGTGGCAGGATAACAAGCTTCGACTGGATCGACACTGGAGTCGGCAAAGAAGGCGGAGCAGGAAGAAAAGTCAGAGGTATGCATACTCCTCTCAACACATTGCAAAGGCAACCCCCCCTAACCTCATTCCAAAGAAAACCTCTCCTTCTTCGCCCTAAACACCCATCTCCGCCACGCCATCGTCGCCTGTTCCCCCGCCGACCTGCCCGCCTCCCTCCTAACCACCATCCCCCTTGAAAAACTCACCCTGATCGAATCCCTCCCCCTCCCCCAATCCCTCACTTCCCTCCCCATCAAAACCGCAAAATTCCACTCGCTATTCCCGCCCCCCGCGCCCCCGAAAGCCGTAAAACCTGTCGTCGAACGCAGCCGCTCCGACCGCGGCCACAGCGAAGCAGACATCAGACGCGGCGACCGCGACCGAGACCGCGACCGGGACCGTGAGATCCGACGACGCGATGATAGAGGCAGCGGTGGCCCGCAACTCCAGCTCATGGAACAAGAGCATGACGGCGGCGGCTCGACGTGGCTTGTTATCCAGCCTGAGCGGAGCAAGAGCCAGGTTATCGACAGGAGGGGGGATAGGAGACGGGCGCCGAGTGAAGACGATAGTAGCAGCTTGAGTATTAGCATTGGGCCGGACAATACTGTTAGTGTTGATAGTGGGAGGAGAAGGAGGATCATGGGGTAAGGGACGTGTGGTTTCTGGGGGGGGGGGGGGGTGAGGGAGAGTTGTTTGGTGGATTCGTATATGTTGGTATGTATGTAGCATGGCGTGGCTTAGCATAGCATTTAGCGTTATTTTCTCATCGAGAGCTTGGTATCATGTCCTTTGAGATGTTTCGTCTTTGTGTTTGAAGCTGGGTGGGGGATGCTCGGAACCTCAGTGTCTTTTGGAAAGCCTTACAATCCCCCCCTTTTTTTCCCCCGATCTGTGACGAAATGTAGTGTCGAAGACTATTCAAGACCATTGCTCGAAAATGCAATGAGAAATAGGTCTACGTTTTGCAATCAGTCTCATATCATTTTTATCCTACATGTTATACCCATATCAACTTACAACATCCATAATCGTTGCAAACAAAAGAAAAGAAAAGAAAACCGAGAAGACAGCTTCATTCGAATCTAGGGTATAAGATGAGAGAAGCAGAGAACAAAACACAAGCACGGAAAAAGACCAGAGAAGAAAACCCGCCACATATCATGCCCCCTGTTTCCCCCCCGTTCCCCTTATTGTAAGAAAAAGAGAGAGAGAAACAAACGCCGGCCCAAATTTCAATGCAATGAAAACCCCCCGGATATCATGACATACACCTCAACAACGCCCCGTGTCCACCTTGATATGGGCAATGGGAAGAATCGCGTCGTCAATGGCGCGAAACATGATACAAAGAAACAAAGCAGGAAAGAGGAAGAAGAGAAAAAACAAAACACATCAAGTTCGGGAATCTGACTTGGGCTGGGTCTTGGCCTTTTCCTCATGCTCCTCTACAATCGGACTTGCAGGAACTTCATCCTCATCACTCGCCTCCCTCGCCTCTTTCCACTCGGAGCTCTTGCGGCTGATTCTACCGGGTCCAACAGGGTCGCGAGGGCTGGCTAGGGGACTCGTGGGCGTGGCGCGCATGCTGCTGATACTATCAGTGCGGCCGTGACCGAGGAGTCCGCTGCGAACACTGAGGCCGTCGGCCTGCTTGTTTGCATAGTAGCTATTGCGGTCGGTGGAGAGGGCAGGTGCGGTAACTCCAGAGGCCGAGTATACGCTTGCGCGCTCTGCGCTGACAAAAGCACCGACGTTGTTGGGGCGATTCGAGGGCGAGTAGATGGTTTCGGGGTTGGCCGATAGGACGCTTAGCGGGAGCGACTCGCGACTGCCACCATAATGTGACGAGGGTGCCAACGCGCGCATTGAGGCGTTGGTATCTACGGAGTTGCGGCGGCGGCGCTTCGACGAGGAGGCCAGGGTTAGAATCGAGGCGTTGTCAGTCAGAATGTTGTTGGCGGTGGCGCCTTGGTAGGAATTGGGCTGCTGCTGGGCCGCCATGTGTGGGGGTATGGCCGAGGGCGGAGGAGAGGTGGGGAACTGGTGGGAGAAGTGGACGGGTGTGGCGAGGGAGTTGTTTGCGTTACTCTGCTGCTGGACTTGGCCAATATTGAGGACGTTGGAGGGCGCGGTAGATTGTATGGTTGTCAGGGTGGTAGTGAGGGAGTGCTCTGAGCCGTGGGGTGAGGAGAATGTGCTGCCCCCATTGACAAAGTTGCTGCCGCCAGTCTCAGCCTTTGAGCGTGTCGAGTTGAGCGTCTCGGGGAGCGTTGCAACAGTGGGTGCGGTGGACTTGTTGCTCTTCTCTACGCGCTGTGGCCGCTCTGCCGCTGCCTCCTCGACCGACGTACAGCTGGCATTGGAGCGCGGGGTGGCAGCGGTGGAGACTGAGATGCTATCGCCGGGCGCATTGGCGCCAGTGGTCATGTAGCCGGACTGGGGGTAGGGGTTGTTCTTGGCCAGGGCCTTCTTGGTGGTGGTGCTCTTCTTGCCGGGGGCGTCGGACGACGAGGGCTTGAGGTTGGCAAGGCGCTTCATCCAGCCGGCAAAGGGGCGCTTGCGCGTAGTATGGCGATCTTTGGTCTTGGTCAGCATGTCTGGCATAGTCGGTGGGCAGAGAAACGGGGCAAGCAGAGCAAAAGAGAGTAATGCAGGGCGGGAGGTGGTGGTTTTATGAGGCAGCCGGGGGCATAGGCTGTGCTGGGCTAGGCGACCGTACCATGGGGCCTCGACGCTGCTTCGGCCGTCGCCATGCTGTCCACGGCCGAATATAGTAGAGCGCGGGTGGTGAGAAAGTGAAGTCGTTGGTTGGGCTGGCCCTGCGCGGGACGCGACGTTCCGTGTCGGTAGTCGAGGTGGAAGCACGTGGAAAGAGAGCGGCAGTGTGCGTTCTGTTATGCGTGT